TCAGACACTGAAGAAAGTATCTCGAGTCCTAATCAGAAGCCCGTCGAGACAAATGGGAGAAAGCTCTCGGCCTCGGCTGAGCCCTTCAGCCCGGGCTCCTACCCCATGGGCACCGCAGTCAGCGGGTATGTCGTCCTGCTCGGACAAGGCCCACTCGCAGAGCCGGTCGGGTTCCCCTCAGTCACCACCAGGGTCCCCTGCGGGCCTCGCTCACCCATGTACTACCGAGCCAGCCACGGCTTCCGGATCCGGCCCGGGTTCCTAGGCTACAGTAGCTCGATGGGTTTCGCCTCCCAGAAGACGATGAACCCGCACGCGCCCGAGTTTGTCCCTAGACGAGCGTGCCAGACAAAAGAAGATTTGAAAGAAAAGACTACATATTCTAACACTGTGGACCCTACAGAGTCTGCAGTCAAGAACGCCGAAGAAAAGCGTACAGCCATCATGAGGGGGAAGAACAGCAGCACGGAGGCCGAGAAAGCTGAGCTGGCAAGGCAGATACTACTAAGCTTCATAGTGAAATCGGTGCAGACTAATAATAATGCTAATGCTTCGGATTCTTCAAATGCGGCTCCGGATGCTAACAAGAAGTACGAGTTTTCGAGCAACTCTGCAGAGGCAATCGCGAATGATAGCGCGATCATAGAGATTCTTTACACAAGTGATGAGAAAACACAGGCCAATGGAAACGAGAGGCAGAGCACTTTGGGTGGTGATAATAAAAGCAAGACGAGGGACGGAGAAGGTTTCGTGCTCGTGACCAAGAGGAGGAGGAACAAGCAGCAGCTGCCAAATGGCGTGAATGGGCTGTATGGTCAGCAGTCAATCTGTGCTTCTGTACGCTGAGGCGAGGGTCTCGAGAATGAGATTTGCGGGAAGATCAACATTTTTCTTCTCTTTTGTTGAGGATATTGCGGATGTGTTCAAGGCCTCTATAGGAATTTGGTTTGGAGCTTGATTTCTGGAGATATGCCGATGGAGCTGGCCTTTTTGTCGCCAGTAATGGGCTTTTTTGGCTGAAGTGATGTAAAAGTTCATTTTGTTCTTTGCCTGTAGGAATGAAACTGTAGTTGTCTTTGGATTGTTATCCTAACATGATGGAAGGGTTCACTGGAAATGCATATTTGTTACCTGTACTGTGAAATAAATCCATGTTCATCCAACTTGATCTTTTGTGACTAAATAAAGGAGGAATTTTTTTTTTGTTGTATTGGATTTTTCGTACAGTTTTCTACTGTTCTTTTTTGTTTCTCATACCAGTTTTTTATATAAGAATATGGAACATTGTCATTGATATATCATTCTCCTGCCAATTTCACTCTATTCGTTGAGCTTAACCTGCCCAATCACTAGAACTACAAATATTTGCTGCAAATACTCGTATTCTTATAATGAAGAAAATATGAATATGAATATTCGCAAAGGTTTACCGAGGAAAACATTTTCTGTAGCCCTATTACTTACGTGATAATTGGTAATCACAATATATGAAGACATGTTTACAAATCTGATAGAGTGGAGACCAGACCGTGATTGCATTCTTAGATAAATATGACCGGCTTCGTATTTAGTTGATTTATTACCTCATTACTATTGCTTATCATTTTATTTAGTTATCTGTGTTGTACACAAATTATTTATTTTTACCGAGTATCGAATCGAATGATTCGTTCCCCGGGTCGATCTCACAAGGAAGGCGGTTCGGAATTTAGCTTTGATATTGATAACACATAAAAAGAAAATAAAACCTAAACAATCTAATCACAATTGAATATATGATAATTACCAGCTAAGAAATAATATAAAAATAATAATCTATCTAAAAATGCAAACGAACGAAATAAGGATGGAGAAGCTAGGGAGTCGGGGAATTAATTCAAGTTCTACTCGCACACCGGGACATAAATCATTCTATTCTAGATTGATGCTCTCGCTTAGACATCTAGCGGTTCGCTCCCAATAACTTTTCGAAACAAGGGATTGAACATAGACGAATAAACTCGAGCATACGACACATGCCAATTATCCCAATCCCAATAATTTTTCGTAACAAGGGATGGGTCATCGACAAGCGCGTATTTCAACCCAAAACTTATAGACTAATCAGCTACGACATCGTCTACCTCATGCAAGCCTAGGTCTACGACTTCTCTCATTTCGGGTCTAAAAATCGCTAATTCAATTAGAAGAAGTTTACTCAATTAATCACATAGAATCGATAAACCCTAACTCGACAAATTAACATCCAATTGTCACCAATAGCAAGATCGAAATGTCACTTTTCGATTATATCAATCTATCGAACAAGAATTCAACAATTCTGAATCAATTCAACTCACACAAGAACAAACAATTCAAGCCCGAGAGATACGAATTAAACAAGAACAATCATCCCCTATCCCTAGCAATAAGAATTAGCTACGCAATATCAATTCAACACAATCAATCATCTCTCTCAATTCAATCATTTTTCATGAATTAAAAATAAAGAGAAGAACTAACAATAAATCGCAATTCGAGTGTTGAATCCAAAATTACAGAGCTTAATCCTTGAATACCAAAAAAAGAGAAAGAAAAATGGAAGAGAAAGATGAAAGAAGAAGGAAGAAAGGAGAAGAAGAAGAGGGGAAGGAGAAGGGAATTTTTATTCGTGCTTTCTCGCCCTAGGTTCGTCCCCAGGAGGGGGAGAATGCTCCCGAACGATTCTAAAATCTGCTATTATAATTGCTGAAAACGCGAGCTCCGCGGCCGCGACCATCCTCTGTGGCCGCGACTTTTTTTTGCTGAGTTGAGAAGTAGGAATAGGAGAGTTGAGAGTCTTATTTATATTGTCTTTCATCTGTCGAAGGACAATTATTATTGAACAAATTTATTGAAAGTTTTATCTCATCTCTGTCTTTCGTCTACCACGCTCCACATCAAAATCTTTTTAAGAAATAATCTTTGAGAAAGAAAATACGAAGGGTATTCGACATTTATATATGTCATATAAATGCCAAAAAGTCTCATTTAACCAATGCATCATTTTTTTTTTCCAAAACGATAGATAATATTATAAATCAAAATGCACAAATGTGCGAATACACAGCAGCCAACGGCTGAATACACAGCAGCCAATAGCTGAAAAAGTGGGAGGACATGTCAGAAGACCGCCTAGAAACCCTGCTAGCAACGCTAGAATAAAAAACACTCGCAACTAAACTAGCCAACAACACAAACAACTAAAACTACTACCTGAGTGTCGGACCCCAACAGAGTAATACCCGAGTGTCGGACCCCAACAAGGTAATAAGGTGACACTCGGGCGTACAGAGTGACACTCAGGTGCACAGAGGCTAAC